TAGTTGCTCCGCGGCATGTGGGATCTTCCCGGACCAGGGGTCGAACCTGTGTCCCCTGAATTGGCAGGCGGATTCTTAACCACTGTACTACCAGGGAAATCCCCTCAATTTAATTTTATTCTTCATTATTTTGTCTTATAACAAGGAAAAGTTATTTATTTATTTATTTGCTTATTTATTTATTTATTGAATATTCACATCATCATTTTTATATATTACTGGATGTTCCTGCATAGAACATAAGTGATTTTTATAAATTTCTTTGATTGTTTCATCACTTAGAATTGGTGTTTAGCGTTCACAGTTAGACTAAATCTGATTTTTTGGACTTATTAATTATTGTTTGCTTTTTAGAAACCAGTAACAATGTTTGTATCCAAAAGCATGATTGTCGAACATGATTAGTGAAATTGAGGCATTTACAGCTTCAGATAAACAAATTTACAAAATGGCTTTATTATATATGAATCCAAGGATTTTTTGGTGACCTTTTCAGAATTCTGATTAAACTAAATGAAGATTCCCATTTTGGTTCTTTCCACTTAGTGTATATTTATTATTTTCTAATGAAGAACATCCTTAAGCATGAAGATGACATAATATTTTGAACAAAATCAATTTTCTAAAGCCATTAAGATCTACAGTCCCCTAAGTATTAAGCTGTATTAAATACCTTAATCTATACAAATGTTCATTTTTCCACAGAATTCAACAACTTTTTCAATAAAGCTGAAAAATCAGAATCACAAGGCAAATTCAGTTGTCAAAAATTATAAGAGCAGGCTTCCCTGGTGGCGCAGTGGTTGAAAGCCCACCTGCCGATGCAGTGGACACGGGTTCGTGCCCCGGTCCGGGAAGATCCCACATGCCGCGGAGCGGCTGGGCCCGTGAGCCATGGCCGCTGAGCCTGCACGTCCGGAGCCTGTGCTCCGCAACGGGAGAGGCCACAGCAGTGAGAGGCTCGCGTACCGCAAAAAAAATAAAAATAATAATAAGAGCAATTTTATAGTGCTTTCTACATGTCAGGCCCTGTTCTAAGCACTTTACACTTAATCACTCATTTAATCCTCAGTATAGCCTTCATGGGTGGGTACTATGATCTTCATTTTAGAAATGAGAAAACTGAAGTTCAGAGAGGTGCACTCACTTCCCCCACATCACACAGCTGTTAGGGGATTTAAAAGAAAATAGTTGATCTTTAATTAGGCAACATATGAGGGTTATCTGAAATGTGAATGTGTACCCCAATAATTCTCATCTGCAACCTAAGTGTCTTATTCACATTGAAAAGTGATCAAATGAAGCAATAATGCCAAGTAAGCCTGCTGGAATCTTCCTACGGAATGTCTGCCTCAAACAGAAAAAGCTTGGACCCTTTAAAATGTCTACGAATGCAAAACAAGAAACAAAGTTCTTTTATGTGATAAATTGCAACCATATCAGATTTGTTGCTTATTTTGTTATTTAACCAACACTGACATCGGTTTGCTAAGTGCCAGGCATTGTCCGTGGACAGCAGTTCTTAAACTTTTTGGTCCTGAGACCAAAAATCACTTTACACTCTTAAAAATCACTGAGGATGGGTTTCCCTGGTGGCGCAGTGGTTGAGAGTCCGCCTGCCGATGCAGGGGATACGGGTTCATGCCCCGGTCCGGGAAGATCCCACATGCCGCGGAGCGGCTGGGCCCGTAAGCCATGGCCGCTGAGCCTGCGCGTCCGGAGCCTGTGCTCCGCAACGGGAGAGGCCACAACAGTGAGAGGCCCGTGTACCGCAGAAAAAAAAAATCACTGAGAACATTTAAGAACTTTAGTTTTTGTGGGTTACATCTATCCATATTTATAGAATTAGAAATTATGACAGAAAATTAACAAAATATTCATTCATTCACTTAATAACAATAGTTACCTATTGCATGTCAACATATGTCTCTGTTTACTCTCAGGTGCTTCTGCCTCAAGTGACTTTTAAAAAGTAAGTTTAGGGACTTCCCCGGTGGTCCAGTGGTAAAGAATCCGCCTTCCAATGCAGGGGACGCGGGTTGCATCCCTAGTCGGGGAACTACGATCCCACATGCCACGGGGCAACTCAGTCCGCGCACCGCAACTCCTGAGCTCGCATGCCTCAATGAGAGAGCCTGTGTGCTGCAAACTACAGAGCCCACGTGCTCTGGAGCCCGCGCGCTGCAACAAAAGATCCCATGTGCCTCAACGAAGATCCCGCTTGCAGCAACTAAGACCCGACACAGCTAAAAAAAAAAAAAGTGAGTTTATACTGTATAGCACAGATAACTGTATTCAATATGCTATGAGAAATCATAATGGAAAAGAATATTTTACAAAAAGAATATCTATATGTATAACTGACTTTGCTGTATAGCAGTAATTAACACAACATCGTAAATCCACTATACTTCAATAAATATACACATATAAATAAAATTTTTAAAAAGAAAGAAAAAGTGAGTTTACCTCTCTGAGCCTGTTTCCTCAGGAGGACCTCTGCCTTTTTTATCTCAAAACGATGGCTATGTCAATAAAAAAAAATGTTGCCGACACCCCAAGTCCCACCCCCCGACGGTGCACCCAGAGGAGACTCAGGATAAGAAAGCACAGGATACTGGCCCCAGATAGCCCAGGTGCAAGTCAAAGGAATGATTTCAATGAGCCCAGACTCTTGCATCTTCCCATACATAGAAAAGGGTGGGAGTTCCCTGGTGGCCTAATGGTTAGGATTCTGGGCTTTTACTGCCGTGGGCCAGGTTCAATCCCTGTTGGGGATCTGAGATCCTGCAAGCCAGCGTGGCTGGGCAAAACAAAAACAAAAACAAGGCGCTAAATTCCTTAACTTGAGGTATCCGGTTTTCTATCTTTCTTTTTTTTTTTTTTAAGATTTTTTTTTTCATGTGGACCATTTTTAAAGTCTTTATTGAATTTGTTACAATATTGCTTCAGCTTTATGTTTTGGTTTTTTGGCCACAAGGCATGTGGGGTCTTAGCTCCCTGACCAGGGATCGAACCCGCACCCCCGCATTGGAAGGCGAAGTTGTTACCGAGTCCAAGCTCGCTCTGCTCCCGCACGACAGGCCAGTAACTCGGAGATGAGGTGTTGAGGCAAAGAATAAAGACTTTATTCAGAAAGCTGGCAGACTGAGAAGATGGCAGACTAGTGTCTCAAAATAACCATCATATTGGGGTCTGAATGCCAGTTTCTTTTATAGAACAGAGACGGGGAGGAGGTGAGGAAGTAAAGTAAAAAGGCCATTCATTTGGCCAGGCTCGGCCAGCATGGGGAGGGGATGTATTAATTTCTTTCCTGCAGCCATTCACAGGTGGGCAGGGTCAGGTTGTCTCCCTGTGAGCTGAACAAAGGCACTTTAGTCTAACGTTCAGGCAGAGGGGCAGGGTTCCCTGAGGCAAGCCATTATGTATGATTATAATAACAAAAGCAACTGAAAGCAAAGGTCAAAGTCAAAGAAACAGATCCAACTTGGAGTCAAAATTGACTCTTCCCTGTTACAAAGTCTTAACCACTGGACTGCCAGGGAAGTCCCTGGCTTTCTTTAACTAACAGTAATGTTTTGACGTTCTGACTACCTGGTCTTCATTGCAAAAACTCCTATATATCCTGGCTCCCCCCACCCCCTTGCCTCTTCAGAGCAGTATCTTAGAGCAATCTAAGTTGCTGTGTCTCTGGCTTAAGTCCCCAGTTTTTTCTGCCAAATAAAACATAATTCTCAACTTTCAGTTTGCGTAATTTTTTCCCAGGCAACAGCTACTTACCCCTTCCTGATCATTCCCTTAGGACTCAAATCTAAGATAAAAATCTGGCTTAGGTCTTCATTTGGGACCAAGTCACTGGCCAGCAACCGAGCTGGCTACTAGAATCAGGGATTCTCCCTGGATGCAGTCAGCTCTAGCCACCCGGAGATGCACAGAAGCAAAGAAGCTTTTGACTGCAAGTCACACACACACACACACACACACACACACACACAAATACAACTGCAAATAACAAAAGATAAAGGACCTGACAAAAGTGACTTAAGGGGGTGGCTTTTTTTTTTTTTAACAAAACAATCCAGAAATCAGACATTTCCCAGTTGGAGGAGCTGGGTCTTTCAGTGTGCAGGCCTTGGCACTCTTGGCCAAGAAATGGCTGCAGCAGCTCCAAGCATCACACTTGCAGGTAATCCCAGACAAAGCAGGTAGAGAAGAAAAGAAGAGGTAGCTCTTCTGGAGTGTTTTATCGAGGGAAGACAGCTTTCCCAGAGGCCTCCAGACAAATTTCCCCCTGTGTCCCCTTGGCCTGTGGCCTTCCCTTGAGCAACGATTGACAAAAGGGAATGAGGGGGTGTGGCACTGGTTGGCTGCTGCCCCCAAAATCAGAATTCTAGTCCCAAAGTTGATGGCTGCTGGACAGGCCACAGGTGGAGTCTGCCCAATAGTCCCACAGGGTCTCCCTCCAACAAACTGGATCAGAGGTCAGGTGGCAGACCCCAGGTTACACACCAAGCAGATAACAGAGGCAGGTTTGAAGCCAGATCTGCAACCAGTTATACCTGGTCCTGCAGGGGCAGCTCTGGGTGTAGAAAGACCCCTTCTGGGTCAAACTGGAGGCCAGGAGAAGGGTCCAGGCAGGAGACAAGCTCTGAGCTGAAGCCAAGAAGAAGAGACAGACAGGGCAGAGTCTGGGGAAGGAGGACAGGGCTGGGGACTCATGGGCTTTGGGGGAAGGGGTACAGAGCTGAGGGGTCTGGCCTAGTGACTGGAATATACCAGGGGGCTGTCCCCAAGATGCGGCAGCGGGGGAGGCACGGCTTAGTGGGGGAAGATGCTAAGCTCAACTTGTGAGGAAGTGGAAAAATCTCTCCCGTCAGAGAAACCGCCAGGTCACTGGGGGCTTGGATTTCTGGGCCCTTGAAAATGAAATGGGCTGAACGCGGGGATTCCTGGTTAAGACCCTAGAGTCCCTGAGTTGCATCATTGGAGATGACACCTAATGGCTTGTTCTTTGGCATTTTATTTCAAAATTGCAGCTAGGAAAAAAAAGTCAACAGCAGCACCGGTTGATCCGGCCTGAAAATGGAGATGCAGAGTCTGAGTCAAGGTGTATCCTTGACCCCACAACACGGAGCAGCGGGGAGTCCAGGTCCCCAAGGCCTGAGTGGCGGGGCTAGGGGCCAAGACGCCTGGGTCGGGCCCTTATGGCTTTGGGAGTGTAACGTGGGAGCACCGGAAACCCAGGCGTCCCGGCCTGCCGCCTTTTATTTCATATTGCACTTCAGGTGAATCACTGGTATGGAGACAAAGGTCCAACAGGGATTGGATGCTACAGGTCGGTGGATCCGTGGAGTGGTCCGGCACAGCCCGCAGCATCACACAGGTAGCATCCACTCGTGGGCTTTTGCTCCATACTGCGGGATAACACAGGCGGAGGTGAGGGGAAGCCACACTACAACTCCCAGCAGGCCCTGCGGCGTCCCAGGCTGAGTGCTGGTGAAGTTGCGCCCCAGGACCTCATGGGAAGTGTATTCCACTTCCCAGAAGCCCACCAACCATCATGGGGAGGGGAGTCGTGGCAAGTATGGTGCAGAGGCTCACGGGAGATGTAATTCTGCAAAGAGGAGTTCTTGTAAGACCCTGAAGGCTCTGGGAAAAAGTCGTTTTCAGCTGAGTCAAGAGGTGTAGTTCCAGGTCCGGGTGCACAGGAGTTTACAGACGCTCACACGAGTGCCGGGAAAGGCAAGATACCTCGGTCCAGACGAATGAAGATACCTCCAGAGGCTTATGAGAGGAAACATTCCTAGGCCACAGAGGGGGCCACGGTCCAGAGGCTTGTAGGAGCAAGATTTCTCAGGCCAGAGGAATAGCCCAGGGCTCCTGGGGATCCTTGGGGATCGGACCTCAGTGGCCAGAAGGCTGGCTTAAGGTCCCAGAAGCTCATGGGATGGGGATTTCTCAAGCCAGGGCTCCAGAGGCGCACAGAAAAGGATCATTTAGCCCCAAGAAGTGTGCTAGGCCGCAGAGGCTCAAGGAAAGCAAACTCAATCCCGGGCCCAGAGGCTGATGGGAGGAGCCATTATCAGCCTGTGGGACTATGGGGGAGGGGGAGGGGAGCCTCAGTCCAGAGGCTCACGGGATGTGAATTTCTGTGCGAAACGGAACAAGCATCCAGCCCATTTCCCAGCAAGTGCACCTCACCTGGATCGCCTTCAGCTCCTTGTGGAAGCGGAGGATAAGCTCAGGCCCATTTTCCATGGTGGGAATGTGGAGGTGCTGGGGAAGAAAGGGCTGTGAGGAGGCGCCCCCCCCCCCTTCTTCTCTCTCATGGCCAAGGGCAGCCCTTCCTCACCTTGCCTTGGTACAGGATTCGGTGCACAGGGCAGACCTGGCAAGCGGTCCCTGAACCGAAGACTTCTCGAACCCGGCCGTCCTCCAGCGCCTGCAGGAACTCCTTCATGGTGATCTTACGCTCTGCCACCCGGAACTCACCCTGTGAGGCAAGACACAGATACATCTGAGCCCGGTGGTGGGCTGCCCTGCTGCAGAGCCCTGTCGCTCCCTCTGTAAGGACAGCGCCTGGGAGGCGGAGGAGGGAAGACGTGCCATTGTGCCCCAGCCCACCCTGACCACCCCTCCCATACTCCGGCCCCCCAACCTAGCAGTACCCCAGCACTCCGGCCACCCAAAGACACCGTGCCCTCACCCAGGTCCGAGCCAGGTCCAGCAGACTCTGTCGAACTACTCCAGGCAGGATGACACCGTCCAGTGGGGGGGTCACCAGTTCCAGCGCTGGGTCAGGTGTACGAGATGGGGGCGTTACCTGACACCCTCAAGCACACCCTCCCATCCTCTTAGGGCCACCCCACGCGCCCCTAACCCCTGAGACCTGCAATCCACTAAGCATTCTGCTCCCACCCACTTCTGCCAGGGCTTGGCTTGGGTCATGGGTGGGCTCACCCCCATCCTCGTGGGTCCAGAAGATGAAGATGTTCATGGTGCCCACCTCAGTGAGCTGGTGGTCAGGCCCGTACAGCCACAGGACCTGTTCACACCCCTTCTTTAGGGCCTCCTGCTGCACAAACACGGTGGGCCCGTAATTCCTGGTGGACAGCAACACGGTGGACCAGGGTAAGGCACTCCCATCCTCCCCCAGCGTGGCCCGACATGGGGACCCGACCAGGGCTGACCCTGCTCCTCCCCCGCTCACAGCCCTTCCATGGCTCCCCAGTGGCCCCAGGACAGAATCCCTGGCCAGTAGCCTGGGGTCAAGGCTCTCAATCACCCCTCCTCCATCTCTCCTCTCTGCAGATCACAAATGCACCACTGTTTGCTCTGCGGATCACCCTCCTCACCCAGTTCCTCAACTGACCAAATCCTCCAATGTCCCTCAAAACCACCTGTGATGTCACATCCTCTGTGAGGCGTTACTGAACCTCCAGGATGGGTTTCAGGCCTTCTCTGGGCTCTCCCAGTAAATCGGGCCACCGCTATGTTTTCCCAGATCGCCCTGTTTCAACACTCACTGTCTCTCACGCAGAGCGGACCTCACCCCTTCCCTGCTCACAAGCCTCCCATGGCTCCCCACTGCCTCTGGGACAAGATCCCAGCCCTTCAGTCCAGTGTTCAGGGCTGGGCCTGGTCCAGGACTACCTGTTAAGCCTTTTGCAAAAACCAGACTCATTTTTCCTTCCCTGACTCTGTCCCTCCTCCCTGCCCCTACACATGTGTTCCGAGGATTAGAAATTGTTTACCATTTTTGTATCCAGGAAACCATCTCCTCTCTACCCATCAGACCTCCTCTGTGAAGACTTTTACAATGTCCCGGTCACCTCCACCAGAGCACATGCTGCCCCAGATACTGGGGCTCCCACCAGCCTGGGAGCCCCTGGAGGGCAGGGCCCAGATCTGATTCATCTGTGTCCCCCAGCTTCACCCAGCATAGGGCCTGGCCCTCAGGAGACCTCACAAGATGTATTTTGAAAGGACCCAAATGAACTCCCAGCTGGGGCCACACTTGCTGTCCCAACACACCCTTACCCCGCCCTCTGCCTTATCCCTGTCCTAACCCTCCTCGCCCTGCTGAGCCAAGGACCCTGGAAAGACAGATGTACACAGAAAGTCCACACACAGGGTGATGGGCGCTGGAGCCCCAGGGAACTATGGGAGCTGGCGGAGCCTGGCTTTTCAGGGGAGGCTACCTGGAGGAGAGACCAGTGAGCTAAGTGTAAACTTCATTTCTGGAGGCTTCCCTGAGGGCCAGTCCGAGTTTCTCCACTTACCTCCACCCAACCCCTTCCAGCCTCTGGGCCGATTTGTCCACAGCACTTAGCACACACCCTGGTACCCGCCCCTCCATCCCCGCACCACGGTGCCAATGACAGTACATCCCAACATGCAAGCACAGCTGTCCCCAACCATGTGAAACAGGATGAGAAGGCCAGTGGACATCCAAAGACACACCTTGTGTCTCTGACACCCAGTGCACCAGACCCGCGGGCGGGGGGCGAGGGACTACTTACCCCCCCAGCTTGTAGTCACCGACCCCACCCACCCAGGCCCGGATGAATGATGGGTCGGCCAGGAGAGAGACAGGGCTCAAGGCATCTCCAGGGAAGTACGCGCCCACCGGGCATAGAATGACGAACAGGAGGGCTCGCGTGGGGTTGCCGACACCTAGCGAGGGCTGAGATGGGTAGAAGCGGGCATCAGGGATCCAGGAGTCCAGGCCCCCGGCCGCTCCCCCGCCCCGTGTCTGGGTCCCCACCCCTCCCCCAAGCGTGGCTCCCCACCCCACCCCCAGCCCTGGGAGCCAGCCCACCTCGTTCCCAATTAACACAGGCCGCACATAGAGGCTGGTGCCGGAGCTGTCGGGAACCCAGTCCTTGTCAACTTCCACCAGCCGGCAGATGCACTGGAGCAACTCGACCTTGTCAAAACTCTGGGCGGGATGAAGATGAGTCATGGGGCCCTCGCGACCCTGGACCCAGCCCGCCGCTCCCCCTGCCACCCGCTCACCGGCAGGCAGAGGCGCAGGGCCGAGCGCAGCATCCGGTCCATGTTGAGCCAAGGTCGGAAGAGGCGCACGCACTGGTCCCTGCCTTTGAATGCCTTCATGCCTTCAAAGAGCTGCAGGGACAGGCAGGCGGGTGATCAGGGCTCGGGGACCAGCTCAGCCAGCCAGGGACAGAGGCCGATACACAGGGATACAGACACAGAAAAAAAGGCAGAGAGCGGCGGAAGAGACTAACCTACTAGCACAGAGAGGGGGAGAAAAAGAGAGAGAAAAGAACCAGAAAGACCAAGAGAGGAGAGAGCAAAGGGCAGAGGCCAGAGAAAGCAGAACAGAGAGACCCAGAGCAGGGAGAATGCTTTGCTTAAACCCTTCCTGTGTTATTAGGACTATTTCTTTTTTTTTCTTTTTTTTTTTTTTTTTAGGACTATTTCTCAGGAATGAGGACGATGTGGAAGTTACTTTCTTTTAAAAATTAATTAATTAATTATTATTATTATTTTGGCCACACCACAGGGCTTGTGGGAATCTTAGTTCCCCCACCAGGGATTGAACCCGGGCCTTCAACAGTGATACCACGGAGTCTTTTTTTTTTTTTTTTTAATATTTATTTATTTGGCTGCAGTGGGTCTTAGTTATGGCTCACAGGATCTTTAGTTGCGGCATGCGGGATCTAGTTCCCTGACCAGGGATCGGACCCATGCCCCCTGCATTGGGAACGGGGAGTCTTGACCACTGGACCACCTGGGAAATCCCAGAAGTTACATTTTTAAAGAGCCTTTGTGGGGATTCAACATCACTAATTATTAGAGAAATGCAAATCAAAACTACAACGAGGTACCACCTCACACGGGTCAGAATGGCCATCATTAAAAAGTCTACAAGTAACAAATGCCGGAGAGGGCCTGGAGAAAAGGGAACCCTCCTACACTGCTGGTGGGAATGTAAATTGGTTCAGCCACTATGGAAAACAGTATGGAAGTTCCTCAAAAAACTAAAAATAGAGTTACCATATCATCCAGCTATCCAGACAAAACTCTAATTTGAAAAGATACATGCACCCCTATGTCCACAGCAGCACTGTTTACAATAGCCAAGACATGGAAGCAACCTAAATGTCCATCAACAAATGAATGGATAGAGAATAGGTGATATATATATATATATATATATATATATATATATATATAATGGAATATTACTCAGTCATAAAAAAGAATGAAATAATGCCATTTGCAGCAACATGGATAGACCTAGATATTACCATACTAAGTTAAGTAAGCCAGAAAGAGAAAGACAAATACCATATGGTATCATTTACATGTGGAATCTAAAATATGACACAAATGAACTTATCTACAAAACAGAAACAGACTCACAGACATAGAGAACAGACTTGTGATTGCCAGGGGGAGGCGGAGCGGGGGAGGGATGGATTGGGAGTTTGAGATTAGCAGATGCAAATATTATATATAAGAATGGATAGGGCTTCCCTGGTGGCGCAGTGGTTGAGAGTCCGCCTGCCAGTGCAGGGGACACGGGTTCGTGCCCCGGTCCGGGAAGATCCCACATGCCGCGGAGCGGCTGGGCCTGTGAGCCATGGCCGCTGAGCCTGCGCGTCCGGAGCCTGTGCTCCGCAACGGGAGAGGCCACAGCAGTGAGAGGCCCGCGTACCGCGAAAAAAAAAAAAAAAGAATGGATAAACAACAAGGTCTTACTGTATAGCACAGGGAACCATATTCAATATCCTGTAGTAAACCATAATGGAAAAAATATGGAAAAAAATATATATACATATATACATTAATATATAACCGAATCACTTTGCTGTACACAAGAAACTAACACAGCATTGTAAATCAGCTATACTTCAATAAAATTTAAAAAAATACCATGTCCAGGAATTCCCTGGCGGTCCAGTGGTTAGGACTCCACACTCTCACTGCCGAGGCCCTGGGTTCAATCCCTGGTTGGGGAACTAAAATCCTACAAGCCACGTGGTGCGGCCAAACACCAACAACACCAACAACAGCCAGGGTTTGCTTCCAAATCATACAGGAAGGGTAAAGCGTTAGCGAAGTCCAGATGAAAGAAGATTGTGACCAACCAGTGCTAACTGGTGAAGCAGGGGTTTGGGGGGATGGCAGAATTATTATTATACCTTTATGTTTTGAAATTTCTCATAATAAAAACTTTTTAAAAAGTTGGTCCCCATCCCCACGCTATTGTTCTCAGGAGAAAGCCCAAAACCTCCCCTTGGCCTTCCAGGCCCCACAAGGTCTGGCCTCTCTCATCCCCAGCCTTCTATACTCAACGACTACCACTGCCTGCTGGGCCTCTGTTGCTGCCACCATGATGTAGCCTCACTCCCAGATAGGTCAGGGCACCCTGATTCCTCCCCCATGGTTTCATTTTGCTTCTTTCATGTCTGTTTCACTAGAGACCCGAAGTGCCATGGACAGGGACCAGACCCGAAGTGTCGCTAGAGAACCACCACCCCCAACCTCACTATGCCCAGTGCTTGGCTCACAGTAGGCTTCTGTTGACTGAATGAATAGACAAATGAATGAAGAATGCAAAATAAACGAGAATAGTCAGAATACCTCTGCAAGAGGTAGGAGGGGGAAGTAGCCTTCTCAGATATTAAAACACCTTATACACCTACAACAAAGTGACACTGACATATGAATTGACAGATTGAACAATGGAAGAGACTGGAAAGTGTATTATAGTGTAACTGAATCACTTTGCTGTACACCTGAAACCAACACATTGTAAACCAACTATATTTCAATAAAAATTTTTTAAATATGATTAATTCAGTTAAATGGTGCTGAACAACCAAATATTCATCTCTGGAAAAAACAAAAATTAAGTAGGATCCCTATCTCATACTTCACATCAGGAAAAATTCCAGGTGGATTAAAGGTTTAAATGAAAAAAATTTTTTTAAACCATGAAAGCAACAGAAGAAAACAAAAGATGACCGTTTCATATTTTGAATTGGGGATGGTGTTCTAAATAAGACAAATCACAGAAACCAAAAAGAAAAGATTGACCTAGGGGTAAGACAGGAATAAAGACACAAACCTACGGAGAACGACTTGAGGCTATGGGGAGGGGGAAGGGTGAGCTGTGACAGGGTGAGAGAGAGTCATGGACATATATACACTAACAAACGTAAGGTAGATAGCTAGTGGGAAGCAGTCGCATGGCACAGGGATATTGGCTCGGTGCTTTGTGACCACCTGGAGGGGTGGGATAGGGAGTGTGGGAGGGAGGGAGACGCAAGAGGGAAGACATATG